ATTTTAACTACAATTATTATTAATAAATTTTGCTTAATTGCTTTGCAAACCCCACTTGTAATCAACAGATTTACAATAATAAAAAATAATTTTTTGATGAAGAAACTTTTGCCTTTGTAAAAGGGATTCTGTGTTGATTAGCCTTGTATGCTTTTTTTCCAAGTGACTTCTATTACACATGTATTGTAGATGATATTTTTATCAGAGAATTCGGAGGTAATATTTAGTAGCCTAACTCCAGTGGGTATTGATATTTTGGATTATAAATTATTTTTTTTAAAACAAATTGTTTTTTTTTAATGTGATAAACATGTTTTAAATGTCTTTTTCAATAAATTTCAGTCCATTAATATACCATGTTTTTCAGGGCATTGATTCAATCTATTATTACATTAATTACATAAAAACCCCCCCCCCCCCCTTTTAAAAAAAAACTCTTATATATTTTTATGATCTTGGGAAATCTTGGGAAATTCGTTCACCAAATCTTGGGAAATTTAAAAAAAGTGAGTGGCAGCCCTGGCTAGGACTAGGATTGCCGTCACTGCTACTAGGTGATAGCCCAAGAAATAATACAGTGATCTCTCGCGTCTATTGTGGGTCCACTCTTCACGGTTTCATTGTGTCGCGGATTTTTAACTTCCATCTATTTAAATTTGTATCGCGGATTTTACGCTATATCTAGGATTTGCGGGAAATAAATATGAATTTTATCAATTTATTACTTTAATTCATTAAATGTGCGGTAAAATAAGGACTTTCTCTATCAGTAGTCTCTAGCCTAAACTAAAATAAGTGAAAACAATATTTAGCACACAACCCAATTTGTCAACAGATTTTCGGCTACCCCCCAACTGGGTGCTTACAAAAAAAAAAAAATTCATTAAAAAAAAACCGAGTAGCTAAACACCCCCCCCCCCCCAAAAAAAAACAAAACAACAACAACTGTTTTTATACCAATCAGACTGGTTATTAGGGTACGGTATTGAAAACTTCATTAAAGGTTAATCCATTAACCCCTTTCAAACAAATTGAAACAGACTGATAATAGTAATAGTAACACAAAAAAGTTAAACCTGGCACAATCTCATCTTTAATTTAAAATTATGTAATTCCAAACGCAACGTTTCTATTTGTCAAAATTCTCATTCTCATTAGATGATCGGTGTTGACTAGGGATTTCTTAGACGGGATCCCGTGCTATTCTTGAAAGAGTTAAGTCACGGCAGCTTACGCAGCATCTTAACACTTGAGTGACCTGCTTGATAAGTTTCAATCTGCATATCGACCTGGACACTGCTGTTCACCAGCTGGAACGGTGCTCGGCGATGAGTTCCCATTCGTTGGTTTCTATATTGGCTGCATTAGTGCTCCTTTGGCAAACACCCTTAATCGCGGCCGTCCGATAAGTCTTGTCCCTTCTGCCAACTCTCCACACAGCAGATCCTTCCTCCATTCTCCTTACATGGCCTAACCAGCGAAAATGCCCCTTGCTCAGAGCGGAGAATTTGATACACATTTTTGCACATTCCAAGACCTCTGTGTTAGGCACCTTGTCCTGCCATCGAATGCGTAAAATGCGACGCAGACATCTTTGATGGAAGCTGTTGACTTTCCGCTCATGACTGTCATATGTAGTCCACACTTCACTGCTATAGGAGCGTACTAAGCGCACAACATCCACCAGGCATTAGTTTTGTGCTTTCAGATAGTTTTAGATTATTCCACACTCGCTTATTCAATTTATCCATAGTTGCTGCTGCTTTTGTGACCATGATTTTTCACCTCTTCGTCAACGGATAGTGAACTAGAGATAATACTGGATCCAAAATAAATGACATGGTCAACTACCGACATATTATGGTCCTCAGTAGATATGTATGGTGGGGGCTGTGCTTCTTGCATCATGAAAGTTTGGTTTCTGTAGACTTATTAACAGTCCAAACTATTTACATGCGTATGAGAGGCGATTAACTAGCTGCTGAAGACCTTCTTCTGTATGCGATGCTAGCGCGGCATCGCCAGTGGACAGCAGTTCACGAATAAGTACCTTTTTAAAAAAAAATGTTCTTTGCACAAAGGCGGGCGATATTGAATAGCCTACCATCAGATCTGATATGGATGTACACTCTGTCTTCACAGTCCCTGGGGGAAAATTGAAGAAGCATTGAGAAAAAAATGGAGAAGAGCGTGGTGCCAGTATACAATCTTGTTTTACTCAGCTGCTAACTGGGAATATCTTAGAGACCTTGCCATTGAAGGTTACTGTGTTGTGCATGTTTCGTGAAATGACTGTATATGATTGTTGAGCAAGATACTCAACAGGCCACTCCGACTTACCAAGTCGAATGGCTTGGTCAGATCTACGAAAGAAAGCAATTTAAAGAGGCCTATTCTGTTCACAACACGTCTGCAATTGTCTTAACGATAATGTCATGTCTATAGTCGAAGGACCACTTCGGAAGCAACGGAGAGAAATTCCTCAGTAATTATTACAATCACTTCGGTCACCTTTATTTTTGTACGATGTTGGCGTCTCTCATGTCCTGGGAATGTGACCTGCTCCCCAACACAGACAGAGGAGCTCCTGTAAGGTTTGAAGTAGTAGGCCTATAGGCTTTCCATTTTGGAGGACTTCCGAAGGAATGCCACCATGGGCGCCCGCAGAAAAATTTCCAGGGGGGGGGCAAAAAATCAATTAACTTTCCAAGGGGGTGGGGGGCAAAATTTTTTAAATAATGTTTTAATATAGTTTTAATTTACTGTAGCGTATTTGTATGGTGAACGAACGGACAGGACATCAGCCTAGTTACTTTCTCTTTATTTTCTCTTTACTTTAATAAAATTTTTGTCTAAAAATTTTTTATCCAATCAATCCAGGGGGGGGGGGGCAAGTTCCCCACCTTGCCACTACCAAGCCTAGTTACTTTCTCTTTATTTTCTCTTTACTTTAATAAAATTTTTGTCTAAAAATTTTTTATCCAATCAATCCAGGGGGGGGGGGGCAAGTGCCCCACCTTGCCACTACCTGCGGGCGCCCATGAATGCCACCAATCACTGGAGCCTTCCCAACAGCAAGGTAATCAATTACCTTTTCGAGCTTTTGCAGATTTAACTATTCGTCTAATTCTTCCATTACTAAGACGGGAATATTTTTTAGAAGCGAAATTGATCGCCTGGGTTCATAATAACTTTATCTGTCAATACTGTCATGGACATGTGGGGTGCTATTTTTGAAGTGTGTTGCCTTAATGCCATATAGATGCCCTCGCACATGCCCCTAGACTTCTATTTGTAGGAAGCCAATTTGCATACAGTGGCAAAGGTCTAACTTTTAAGTGTTGGCACACTGGCGGGCAGTCTACTTGGATATTTAAAAAAAAAAGTATACGTGTCATCAAATATATCCAGTATTAATAGCGATATTTCATATATTCCTCAAATTGTAATCGGTTAAAGGCACCAGTTAATATTCTTTTTAAAAATGTCATAAAAATGAATTTACAATTTTTTAGTCTTAGAAATAAAATATATTCGTTTTATCGCTGTACACATTTTCTCGTGGGGGCGGGGCGATGCCCCCGAGAGATGCATGAAAGAAACACTGGTGCCAAACTAAACACTGTCAAAAATAGCGTGACAGACTTATGGTCGGCCGATTATACTAAATAGGCTACTTCACGTCTACTTCTATCAGTCATAGCTTTGAAATTTGATGACATTTTTCAACACATATGCCTACGTTTTGAGAGGTTCACATTTTGTATTATTATTTAGTATGGGTTTTGTCTTTTAGTTAAAAGTCTCTTAACCTAGTTTTTCCATAGGACTTTAAAAAAAGAAAGAAAAAAAAAATGGCCCTACATTATCTGCTGGGAAAAAATTGAACCGGCACGCAGTAGTAAAGGGGGGCAAATGCATAAGGCTTCCATGGCCACCTTGATCGAAAGTTGACTTCTGACTAGTCTCGTGCCGCAAGTCATTACACCCAACAAATAACAAGCACCCAATAAAGATGTACCGGTACATAAATATTCATCTATTCTTACTATGCCCAAAACCACAATGCAATTGACACAACTTAACTTATGATAAGTTCCCTTAACTTTTTTCTCATCACTTAACTTTTTTTTCTATTTCTATTTAAATGAAATTTAGAAAAAAAAATTTTTTATTTGATTATCAGAGAAGAGGGAGTGGGGTGGGTGTGTGTGTGTGCAAAAATGTAAAATACCTGGCCGCATGCATCCAACACTATGGGTCATATGCACTGAAAACATGGTCAAAATGCACTAAAAGAGTGGTCAAAGTGCATGGAAAAGCATGGTCAAAATGTACCGAAAAGCATGGTCATGTCAACAGTTTGTGTGGATTAACAAAATAAAAGCACTCTAAAATTTCATCAACAAGTGTACCGGTAAGTTATTATGCACTTTAGAATCGATTTATAATGTAGTTGAAAGCCTGGAGGGCGTCTTAAAAATGCCTCCCATTCCAGCAAGTGTGTAGCAATTATATTATAACCAATGTTCCCTCTAAGGTTTGCTGCGGTTCATGCGCAAAATCATACAGATGTCCAAAGTTTTAAAGCATCAATTTTTTGTGTGCAAAATTTTACAGCCCACACACACATACACAAGGAAATGACGTAAAAGAACGTATGTGCAAAAAATTAATTTAAATAAATAAAGCAACTATAATCAAATGATTATAATTAGAATTATGCCACAATAGTTCAATCATAGCTATATTTATTTTCATTATTTATCCGTCATTGAGTTAAGAAACTAAATTCCAACACACCCACATTTGATTGACTCATTTCTGGAGGTAGGCCTACTCTGGTGTCTGTCTTTCAACGCTCTCCATCTTTTATTCACATCGTCAAGGTTGATCCGGTGTCCATCAATCTGATAAGCTCTAAATGTAACTCTTTCGCAATCAGCGCTTGATGCAAAAAATGTTGCACAAATATCCAACAGAATGGCAATGTCACCGAATGGCTCTTCATTTATTACAATCGTCGAAACTCTGCATCAACCCACATTTAATTTTTTTCTGTAACCACAAACCTTAAATTACATACTGATCCTTAACTTTCAGCAGAATGTCATCATATTTTCCAGGGATGCCGCATATCTAGAAACCAGTTTCTTCGCAAACACTAAAAATCTGAAGTGTCGATTAACGCTGATTTCTCAAAGATTCGCCATTGCATCGACTCACTTTCAGGAAATCGAGAGTCCTAGTGCAAACATAAACATTCAACGAATTTTAGGATTGAAATCATGCTTATATCCTCGTCATTTGCAAGCCATTCAGCAACCTCTTCGGACCAGTGCACATTTTCACCAAATTACGGAGCTTAGCGATCCTTACTTTTACAAACAGGTAGATCTATGCCTCGATGGTCGTAATATTTTTTATTTGTAGTAGCGCATAATTCAGCAAGTTCACCAACAACTTCATCAGAGAAAATTAGTGCAGTTCGAAACTGCGGATCCCTTAGTTTCTTCAAACTGTAGCCTACCTATGAACTGAATCATTATACTTATACAGCCCCACCTGCTCATCACAGTATTCAGTAAACACTTGTATGTTTCTCAGGAATGCTTGTAAAGCAAAGTGCCGCGAAAGCCATCTGATCTCACGAGCAACGCAGTGTTGTTCCAGTAGATGTGGAATGCGTCCGCAAAGAATTGCTGCAACTCAATTGTTATTGCCTAGCATAACCGATGCACTATCAGAGGTAGGTATAACCATTTTCTGCATGTCCAATGAATTCTCTTGATAAAACTATGTAATTGCTGATTCCACAGATTTACTGTCACATGCCGACAGAGATAAATTCCAGCTAACACTGCCTTGTATAAACATTACAGGGATGTGGCCGAAACTTTGCGTATAAGACAACAATTTGTCAGTGATCATAGTTATATAACAGTGCTCTCATCTGCTGTTAATGTGTGGAACTTTGCATTGCGAAGTTCGCTAATTATAACATTCTTCACTATAGAATCGATAGAATCAACAAAATCAAAAGCGTATTTCTTACTGCGTCAGCTATCAGGGACTGGGGCATACTTAGCCATATGGTTGTGAATGTATTGAACGGCATTCAAAAATGTATTCGTGTGATAGCCAAGAGGACGTTGTCAAGCAAAATTTTAATCTGGTCTTCTTTAGCACTTTTACGTTGTGCTGTTTCTTGTCTCATGCCTCAACAGCGACACTTTCTGTACGAATTTGCAGTACACCTCCTGAAGGAAATAGAACGAAATTTCTGTACAGCAAATGTGTGTATTTTTTGCTTGATGAACTTGATGTGTCGTTTAAGAAAGATCAGCTTCCAAGCAGTGATTATTTCAGAAATTTTCCCCCGGGGGAGGCACTTCAGTGTTCAGACTTTTCGGGGGAGGGGGGGGGGGGAGTGCCAGGTTATTTATTGTTGGACATATATTTTGGCTTGGGGGGGGGGGGGGGGGGGGGGGGCCACTGCCCCCTCTCCCCGGAGAATATAGCTGAAAGAAACCCTGTTTCCAGCCTCCCACCTTGTCCCTGTGGAGAAATCACCACCCACCTTAGCTTTGAAGCACATTTCACAGACATTAATCGTTAAGTTCACGTTATTTAAAAATATCACCCAGCTTGACAGTCCGCTCTGACGACGAATCTGGTAGTGCTACATGCACCAAGCCATTCTGTTTTATAATTATATCTACACCTTTATCTTAGCTGACAGTTCGCTTAACTGACGTTTAGAGATAACGGTTAAAACATTATTAAAAATAATTGGCTACTACTACTAAATTTATAATAAACTAGAGATATGCGATTTATTTAATTTGTACTTTGTCACATACATTGCGCAGTTTGCACCACAATATTTACATGAATGGTGGCGGTGGTTCAGAACGAGGCTAGCTTGATCTGGTATGTTCGGTATGTATGTAAATCAATAGTTCTATGTAAACAGTAGAAGACAAAGATATAGATTTGAACGTAATTAAAAACATGGATGGATATTTTATAAAAACTGTATAATTCCGGCTGCAGAGTATCTGTTTGAATTTATTTTTATAAAAATTTCCTGATCAGATACTTAAAAACTGTTACAAGGCATCTTTGAGAGAGCTGCGCGGCCGCGCAGCTTAAAGGGAACATTGATTATAACCTTATCCAATTGAACATGGTAAAAATCATATGCAAGATGGTCAATGTTCGTTTTATAGAATTTTTTTACTTTGCAATTTCAAAAAATATTTGAAAAAATGTAAGCATATGTAACTCCTACTTGTAATCAAGCTTTTTAAAAAAGATTCTTTTAAATTTTTGAATGAAAAATATCACTAGATTAAAATTGTATAAATGTTTTTAAAAAAAGTTCTCTAGAAACTAAAAGTAAGAAAGCTTTTACTAATGAAAATTTAGGGATGATCATTTGTGTTTAAATTTCATCTAATGTAAAATAATTCTCTGACACCGACACAAATAATTGGAATACAATATAAACAAAATCTGAAATAAACAAACTTAAACTTTGGTCTAAAAACAAGACCTTTGTCTACTTTAGATGTCAGGATGATGAATGAACTTAAAAAAAAACCTAAATGTACATAAAATTATTTAATCAGACGCAAGGAAAGAAACTGAATTCTTCATATAAATTGATTAAAATGGTCCCTAAAGCAATATTGGTTGGCCAGCCCGTGTTATGATGAATTATTTTAAAATTGCTTTTTTCAAGCTAAAAAAAATAATTTGACATAAACTAAGTTTCTTTAGAGGAATAAAAAAAAAATTATTAATTTTGAAACAATTTGAGTTGACTACTAAAAATTTATAAACAAAAATAAGTTATAGGTTTATGCATTCTTTCCTATATCCTCAAAAAACCCCCCAAAAAACCAATCTCATGAAAATATTTTATTTTTATTTCAAAATCTCATCAAATCAAGGAATATCTGAGGAAAAAATCATTTCACTTAACCGGAATTAACCTGAATAGAAAACACAAAGTTGTGATTTCTTTTGAAAGGCATTTACAAAGTTTAAGTTCTGAACGATAGAGGACTGATTCAGCAATCATATGAAGAGGCACTGGCATAGTTTCTTAAAAAATGTATATGATGTGCCCATTTTATTATATACTTCAAGTACCTGTTTCAGTTTGGGATGGCGGTGCTCATGAGTCAAAAAAGTTCATATCTTACATACAGAACAGAACAAGAGAAAGTGTTACAGTATATTAAGTCATAATGAATCTTACCATGAAATCAAATGCCAACTTGTTTAAATGATATGGAAACTTATTTTTATTCAATGCATTTTTATTGATCCATCTCCATTCTACAAAAATTTTCCAGAATTAAAAATGTTTCTTCAAAATTACTAAGCTCAAGCACTGAATGTTGCAGTCTTGGTGTGGACAGAATAGTGATATTTATTTTGTTTGCTAATCATGCCTGTTATCAGTTATTAGCAAGCAGTATTACAATAAAATAAATAACCCAACTCATCGAGTGTAAATTGTAAATGAAGCCATGCATTTAGATAATTGATATTCTGTTTTATTCTTAAAAAAAAACAAAAATGTTAACATGGACAATAGCAAAATGGTACCCACTGATGTTTTTCTTTCTTAACTTTCCGTTCTATCATTATTCACTTCAATTATTGGGTTAGTCTTTAAGTGTATCTCTTCCACTTGAACTTGTTTTTTTTTTTTGAAGTACATGAAATATTGATTAAATAAAAGAATTGAAATTCTTTAAAAAAGAAGTTAAATAGGATTAGGATTCCTGAAACGGTGACGTAACATGTTGGCCTTGCATCCAAGTTCCATATGATGGCGAGTGCGAAGTCTCTGCATATATTTCAAGTCCTTGACTCGTATCGCCACTTGAGTACCTTGGTGAAAAAAACCAAATTATAAATCTTTTAACATTTTCTTTTTAAAAAAACCTACAAAACCATAAATTATGAGTGCTATATAAAAAAAAGTAGCCTAGTAAAAATACTTTGAGAGAGGAAAACATTTATTGGACTGTAACTAAAAAAAACCACCATAACCAACAAAGCATGATAAAAGAGAGCTATCCAACAGCCTGAAATGTCATTTAATTTCTATAACCCCAATAGGCAGGTTTCAAATGTTGTAACAAACACCTGGTTTCAGAAAATCACATTTTATTGAAAGAGAAAGATAAAGAATAGCAAACAGAATTTGATAAATAAAGTTCATAAAGATTTACCCGTTGATCCAGTCCATCCAAGAGCTTTGTAATAAGATAACATTTTGGGAAGGATCCTCTTTGTTGGCTCATGCATGTGGGAAACCAAGTTCTGCTTGTAGTATCTCATTAGTGACCTGTGGCCAACAGTAGCTCCTAATAAAAGTAAGCATAACGCAATATACTGAAAACTGTTGCCTCTGTGGAAACTTTTTAAAAAGCAATTAGCATGCATAGCGCACTATTCTAAAACACTGAAGTGAAACACATTGTATTTGGAAGTTTGATATGTCTGTTGATCAATGAATCCATTTTTAAAAAAATGAAATAATATTATCAGACATAATTTATAGGTATTTCACATTTGCCTAGACTGGGGAATCTCAAACTCAACCAAAAGGGCTATCTGAAGAAAATTTTATGGCCAAAGGGCTGCAGCACACTGATACACATCATAGATTACGAATGACCCCTGCCCTAGATTAAGACTACTAAGAAAAAGATGTATTGTAAGATTCATTCATAAGTTAACTTTTTTTGTTGAAATATTTTTGGGGAAAAAGTTAATTTTACCGAGGTACATTGATCTATTATAGTTATAGACAAAAATAAAGGAAAAGTTATTAACAGAAGTCAACATAGAGTAGCATGAAAATTTAGGTCACACATTTTTCCTCATCTTGCAACTGCTGTAGTTGGCTCTACAATGAGCAGAGGTCTTGATTTTTGTAAAATGTTCAGTATGGTCACTGTATTTACCAGTAGACACACAAAGAATGTACCAGGTATCTGTGTTTTACATAATATTGCAAGTTTATTAGTTTTTGAGTCTTTATTTACACAATAATTATTTTTAGAAACTTTTGGATTCTTAAATTTTTTGTTTCCAGTACTGCATTGCTTCCACTAGCTTAATATTTTGAGCAGGTTACACACTTTTAAAGCTTTTCCCCGGTGAAAACTAAGAGCGTTACCAAGTGAACAGATTTATAACGAGTACATACAGCAGAATAGATTATTATATAATTTATTTTACAAACTGACAGTATTGTGTAAAAAACAACCAAAAAAAAAAACCAAACTTTTACATACTATTTTGAACAAACCTGATGGAAGAGTGAGAAAATATCCATCACTCTCTAGCTCCAAAACATTAACAGGTTCATCTGGATTGACATTTGAATCAACATCATCAGGATAACTTGACCTTAATGATAGTAAGTCAATTTTTTAATATTTTAACAACATTCACTGTTTATTCTAAAACTGGCATCACTAAATATAATAGTAATATTACACTAAATATAATAGTAATATTAATTTCTTTAAAACTTACAACAGCATATCACTAAATATAAGGACAGTTTACAAAATGAAACTTACGAATAATCAAAGAAGTCTGCATATTCAAATATAGCATCTCCTTCATGAAGCATTTTACAATGACCTTTGTCCAACATGTGTCGCTGAACATCTTCTGTTGAATGAAATCTTTTCCCCTTTTCATTGCACCATAAACAAATGTGGCCGACACCAACCTTTTCTCCTACAATGGCAAAATTTAAACATATTTATTGCACATAAATCAGTATGTGATGTACTCTATAATTTAAGTTAGTAGTTATAGAATTCAGCTGTAATCTGTTTAAAAATACCACTTTGGTGTGAAAAATTAATTGCACATATCAAAAAGGTAAAACTAATGCAAGCAAAAACAAACAAAACTAAAGCATATTAATTGTAAAATACTTTTCTTAAAATTTAAAAATTATGCATAAAATAAAAATTAAAGTAAAGAATATTGAATAACGATTTACCCAAGTATGTAATTAGGCCTTCTAAATCACAAATGTACTCAGCATCTGGTATAAAAAATCCATGGCTTTTGCTCATGTGAGTAACATTGTTCTCTAAGGAAGAGCTGATACAGGAGCAAAACAAACATTCTTCAAGGCCGATGGTATTATCATCATCACTATTCCATGACTCTACGTCAGAGTTATCTGATGATAAAATACAAGAAAGAAATATTATTGGCAAAAAAGAATAAAAAAAAAAAAACATTGGTTAAGCTTGAGACTGGTTAATCAATTTTCCTTGAACTTGAAGTGAAAAAGACAAATACGGAAATGATTTGTTTTTTACAGGCTGAAAGCATTAACAATTTTAATAAAGAATTACAATAATTTCCACACCAATAATGGGAAGCTTACAGGTCTCACTGCCCAAAAGGTAGAAAGTGGTGTGGGGTAAAAAGAACAAGGTTCTCCTGAAACAAGTCAGATTCAAATGTACATAATAACGTATAATTAGTCAACATGAAAGTAATAACAAGCAGTTAGCACTTATAAATTAAACTCTAATTTGAAAAAATGAACTCAAAAAGTAGGACAAATTGGACACAAGACAATCTCAAACCACAAAGGTCATGATTATTTAAAAACTAAACTTTACACAAGATATTTTAAAAATACAGAGATGAATTTTTAAAGATATAAATAATTTGTTTTACCATAGTAATAATCCAATTTTATTCAAAGGTTTCCACCAATGACACCCTATTAACAACATGAATTAGTATATTCTTCTACTTCTAATAACCAGGAGGATTTTGTACAAATTTGGGAAACACTTTTAATATAAATCTTGTTAAATAGTAGCACTTGGATTAAAGTTTTAGAATATATTAGAAATTCAAAGGGGTTTGGCACTGGTCTGTTCTGCCTGGCCATGAATCCTTTAAATTACTGTAGCTGTAGAAAAGTAAAAGTTTCAGATATTTTAAAAAATGACCAGAAAGCTGATGGATTCTAAATCAGCCATAAAATCTAAGTTGCGATCTTATCAAACAAACAAACCTTCATCCATGGGTGTTGATTTGGTTGCATCATTTTCACCTGCATCTTCCTTTGGAGCTTCCACAGGTTGTGAAGTGACATGGTGAATTTTAGCTTTTTTATTTCCTTTCTTTTTTTTGTCTTTGACAGGTCCTGAAACAAGCTCTTTATGCTTTTTTGACTGAAGATGATTTTCCAGTGCATTGGGAGTACTGAAGGCTTTATTACATGGCTTGCAGAAACATGTCTCATGAACAGCACTGCTATCTGTCTCCTAAAGTGAAAACAATAGTTTACTAGGAAATGCAACTTTGAAGGTAAAATGATTTTATTTTTCATATGTAGTAAAAATATATTTTCCATAAAATTTAATATCCTCTTCAGCAGAACTTGCCAAACTGTAAAACACTTTTTTGAACTGCAGTGTGTAACTTTAGGTGTTCTCACCAAATTAGTAATGTGAAATAAGCAATAACAACTTGCATGCATTTTTAAACATTCTCAAACATAAATATTTACACACTGATAGACTACGGTACTTAAAGATGAAAAGCGCATTTATCTCAAAAATGTTTATTATCCACATACTAAACATATTTTTTTAATGTATAAATTAAATATGTTCATAAGACATTGTGCAACAATACATTTTTTTATTACAATGTATGTAATGCTATTTGTCAATATCTCTCATTACTTGCAGCAATTAGTTTAATAAAACTATATTAGAGTGTCCCCACCATGAAAAGTTTGAAAAGCTCAGCTCTGCTAAAAGTTTACATGCATTTCATATAATAAGATAGAGAGCTCAGTGACTTAAGTAATTATGTATAGAATGCAAATAACTCATTTACTCTGTCTTTATTCACACCCCCCCCCCTATCTCTTTGTGTTATTTCTTAGGACCATGATTATTTATAATTAATATATAAAGACTTTGCTTTTTAAATGCATTTTGAGTTGAGTTTATTCTTTAAAAAAAAAAGATTATATTAGATTGTATTATGGGTGAAGGGGAAAGTAAACATATGCATCACACAGGTCCATCTATTCACCTTTTATCATGTCAATTATTTGGATTCCCCAAAGACGCCAAAGTTGCATCACTCATTCACTGTTCTTAGACTTTAAACAGTGAGACACCCAAAACTTGGGTTATTCATAAATTAAATGATGTTATGCTATTAGGGCTCATTTTTTACCAACCACCCCCAAAATCCCAAATTTAGACATCAGCTAAATAGGCTGTCAAAAATTTGTGACACATTCCCTCTCATTTTGGATAACCCTATAACCAAAACTAGTAGGTAGGTACCGGTACTTGAAAATCACTATTTTTGAAGAAATTGAGGCCCATATGGTTTTGAGAATTTTTAAAAATTGAAATACGTACGGTACAGGGTTATAGGGTTCACTCAAAAATTATTTTTTCCTTGCTAGAGATGTCGTATCAACCGATTTCCAGTTCTAGTTATGTTAATGAGCAGGCTTTAACAATATCTATTTTGATGAGAGTAATTTAAGTATGTCAAAAAAAGTTTAAATGCCTTCTAATTTCATTCTGAAACAAAAGTTATCAAATATTTCCTAAGCTATTGTGCCGACACTCACTGCCAATATAATTTATGCAGCAGTTCCCCTTTTGTTACAAAGTTATAACATACAGGTACTTCGATTTTCGACTAATCAAAAGACAGCATTTTTAGCCTGGGTCTTTTTTTTTCTCCCAATGGTGTTAGGTCTTCTTGTATCAGTAAGGATGTGTTCTTTTTTCATTTCTTTTGAAATGTGTAAGTTGAATTTTAATAAAAAATGAATGGAAAATTGTGTTTTAATATACTTCACATTAACAATATCGATCATAAGATTTAGTTCATGACACGATATATGCTCAGTAAAGAACAGGAAAATTATCACACACATTCAGGTCCCACAATTGAGCTGTATTGGTCTATTCACTCTAAGCCCAGTGTTGAGATTCCCCAAAGTGATGTCCCTGCGCTTTGGGTGAGACAACTCTTGACAAAACTCATGTTAAACCCAAAATTTACCCTTTCTTCTTAAAAATTTGTTGCTTTTCCACCTTTTTTTGATTATGTATTAATTGTCATCACTTTTATACACCATCCATAAGAGTCACATACTGTCATTTCTTAAAATGTTCCTGTCAATAAAGAAAAATATTCTCATTTGCATAAGTATTGGTAAGTAGCTAAATTTCAATGTCTTCTTCTCCCCTCCCAATGCGCCCTTCGCCATATTGGGTACTAATTTTTTGCTGCTGCTGTCATGGCAACAATGATGGTGGCCGTGTCAAAAATATAGTAGACAACACAGGGAAACAAGTGAAACTGTAAAGCCTAAATTTTAACAACTATTTGGACATTTTAACTTTAACAAGCTGGAAGTTAACAACTAAAAAAAAAAAAAATAATACACGACTATGATAAGAGAAGAACAGACAGATGAAGCCATTAAAATTAGAAACATGACTTTTTAAAAAGTAAATCAATTCAAATACCTAGGAGAGGATCTTTATTAAATGAAAGAAAAAAAAATTACTAACAGAAATAAAAGAAAGAATGTCCGTCGGAAACAAGGCATACTTAAGTGGTCAGAAAATACTCAAAAGTAAAAACATTACAAGAGAAATGAAGAAAACTATTTATAAAACTGTAATCAGACCAGTAACATATGCAAGTTTTAGTGAAACTTGGACAGTAACAAAAACGGCAGAAAACCCATTAAACATATGGGAGAGTAAAGTTCTCCGGAAAACATATGGACCAACAAAGGATGAATATGGATGGAGAACACAAACCGCCCTTGAATAGTACAGTCTATATCAGTGAATCATTATGATTATTGTTGTTGGCAAATGTTGGCAACTGGTTTATTTATACACATTTTTTTTGTCAAAGTACCTAGCAATAGCTAGGTCTTAGTGGAAGGAAGGGTAATCTACCACTTGAGCGTCGGCCAAGAAAAAATCCAGCTGTTCCGGTTGGAAGGGATATTTAAACAACTATTCTTATATTATTTTTAATGACATTGGTTTTACGAATTCATTCCCATAATAATAGAGAATTTTAAAAAAAATAGAAAAACTATAACAATTTTTTTGAAATAGAAGATGTGTGAAAATGGAATTATGACATTATGATAGTTCTCCCCCAAGTTGACAATGAAGTTTTAAAAAAATATAATTTCCATGAAAACGGTTGTGGTACATGAATCCACGTAAATATGATGGGGAAAGATTCTTGTGCCATACTGTCTTTTCAGTTTACGCTTTTTGAGTATTCATGTTTTCCACATTCTGTGTGTGGACATTCGCGTCTTCTGGATAAAAAAAAAATAAATTGTCTCCTTTTCTTCCTGGCCTATCGGTAGCTTGGCAGTAATAATTATTTAAATGTAGTAGTATAGTGCTACACAACTTTATGGCCTCTATAAGGAAGCAAAAATATTAACAGACTCTAATGTAAGAAAAGTTGTTTAAATAGCCCTTCTGACCTGAGCAACTGGATTTTTTCTTGGCTGACGCTCAAGTGGTAGATTACCGAAGGAAGTAGTGAGGCAGGCCAAAGCCCTACAGGAATGGATTGATACAATATTAAATAATATATATCTCAATTTAATCAACCTGTTTCTCCTGAAGCTGTTGTCTTTCTTGAAAATTCTCAAGTGGAACTGGAGGAAGATTGGCAACTTTCCGTTTTAAGTTGTAACGATGCCATTCTGATTTGTAATGAAGGCGACCCAAGGCAATATCAGTAAAGGCCACATTACATGACAAACATGTTAAAGATGCCATGTTTCTCTTGTCAAGACTTATACTGCCAACAAATATGTTATCAATAAAATCAACCAGGGTTTGATTGCAGCATTCGTGAAGAACTGGTGAAATTTGTTCACGCTTGCCGGAAGTGATGTTGATAAACAAGAAATCTTGCGAAATTAAAGGTAAAGAACTAATTTCCGCTAAAGTTACTTCCTTTCTAAAAATCATCGTCCATCAACAATGGTACGTAGCCTATCTACTGAGTGGAAAATCTGTTACAATCTTAAAATATCAGCTATTGTTTTAATGTTTTTTTGAGAAGTTCCCTTAAATAATTATTTAAGCTGTTTATTAAAATATATTGCTTTCTTTTTAACTCCCAATTAATTTGTTTGGACTTATTTTGCAAAAGTTCTCAATGGAGTACCTACTAGTCTTGTAAATAATATAAATAAAGATTGGTTTAGTAGTTTCCATATTCTCAATATATAATAGTACATAGTCTTAAGATTTAATGGTAATACCAGATTAATTTTTAAAAAATCCAGTTGTGAGATATAATTTCTTCGAATATATATAAAATAGGTCTTTAAAAATTTGATAATTGGTTGGCATAACAGTACAGTACAGTAGAATTTCTATTCTTCACCAGCACCAGCTTGAGTAGAAGGTGGTGGTAGAACACAATATTAAATATTAAAACTTTGATTTATTAATTATTAGAATTAGAGAGCCTACAGTTATTTTAATTTAGGCATATATGAAGTACTCAAGTTACAGGTAGTTTAGTAGTCATGTAACCTTATAAAAACTCATTTTATTAGGTCTATAATGCCTGTATTTTGTTTAATAGTAATAGGCTCTTCTATTTTTACTATTTGAAATGATTTTATCTTAATAGGCCAAACGAACCAAGAAGGTTGGAATTGTTGGAAAGTATGGTACCCGCTATGGTGCCTCACTTAGGAAGACGGTGAAGAAGATGGAGATCACCCAGCATAGTACATACACATGTCCATTCTGTGGCAAGGTTGGTCCTATCTATAGTTGAACTATAGTTCGCCTGATTAACTAAAGGAGTCTACAATTGAATTTGAACGATGTTTTTCTTAATTAGTAGACCTAATTTAAATCACTTGTATTTTGTATTTGTTTTGAATGCATCCTGATCTGCACCCCCACATATTTATGGTTGTTTTTGCACATGGCCCTACAATTTGGCAGTTAATATAAATAAACGATCATATTTGCATGTGCTAACTCATTCCCTCCGGCAGTGCTACTTCCGGACTTAATTTATTTTCTTGAGAAAAGGGAAGCAACTCAGTTTTGAAATTGATTTACATTTTTAAAATATTTTGGTAAGTTGCTAAATATTATTTAATGTTAATGAATTAAGAACAATGCAACAAAAAATGAATAAGGTTTAATATAAAAAAAACATTAGCGGGGAAAAAATAACGAACAATGGCCAAATAATTGATTTTCGGCACCTCAGAGGAACACATGCTACTTATTGACGCGCCGTACCTAAGCACACGTAGTTTTAAAGTGAAACAAGATAAAAATAATCACGCCATAGCCGGAAGTCTCGAGGGACGTGAGATTTCATTGCTATTTTTAACTAAAAATAAGAGGTGTGTCGCTATGCGCCGGGACACAGTTGGACGCAACAGTGGTTTAACATGTAATTTCTCTGAATAAAATACTTACACTTAAAAATTATATCGTTTACCGGTAATATTAATATAATAATTGTTTCTCATTTCAGGAGTCAATGAAAAGAAAAGCTGTTGGTATTTGGAAATGCGGTAGATGTTCAAAAACAGTGGCTGGAGGTGCCTGGGTTTACTCGTAAGTCCTCTTTACTTTAGATGTTGCACCACTTTTTGGTTACTAAATAGCTTCATCTTTGCAAACTTTTTGTCAGCTCGCCAGCTGTGCAGTGCTGTTAACAATTTTTATGACTGATAAATTTGTAGTTTGTATTGCTTTATCAACACCCAGCTGATCTTAGATAAAATAAATTTATTACACTTGCATTGTTTTGGAGAATTGTGTCTTTCCCCATGAAATACACTCCCAACCTCTATCTTGAAAAATAAGGTTATTAGTAGGTACTCCAACTCAAATTTTTAAATTCATCTGACACACAAGGAGCATATCATTGGAAAGAGCTGGCTTTAAGCTTTCTAATGACACCAAGATAATCTTTCTATCACTTATAGGAGAAAAGTTATGAATTTTTTAGTGATTTATTTTTCCCCACTATTCGGCTTTGTATAGAGCATATCATTGGAAAGAGCTGGCTTTAAGCTTTCTAATGACACCAAGATAATCTTTCTATCACTTATAGGAGAAAAGTTATGAATTTTTTAGTGATTTATTTTTCCCCACTATTCGGCTTTGTATTTAATTTTTAAAACTGTGATCGCATTATTACTCTTTTTGTACTATTTTGCTTGTATCTTTTTGGCCATTAAAGTTAGAGCTATCAAATTTGGAGGAGATATTTGCAATACAATGTTTAACAGAATAGAACACATGAATTGTGAATTGACTTATTATATTTGTAAAAATATGACTTTATGAGCATATGGCGTGGATAACGACAATTGACGAAAAATTTAATTTTACAAAAAATGTCATAATTACTAAACCAATAAAGCTATTGCTATAAAATTTTCACTACAATCAGATAATGTACATCTAATAGTAAAGCAAATTCAAAATAAATAAAATGCAGATCAGAAAAATGTATGTGATATTAGAAAAATTATTTAAATAAAAGCTACCGCGGCCGAGAAATTTTTACATTTAAATACATAACTTTTAAACTAATAAAGCTACTGCAATAAAACTTTCAGTACAAATAGATAGTGACAATTTAAATTTAATATAATATTCAAATATTAAAAAAATGCAATTAAAATAATGCTATCCAAAATTCAAAAATGTTACGTAAGTTGTCGAAATTGATGTACATTTTTAAACATTCAGGATATGTTTCATGGCTTCGGAGCTCTGCCTACTCTTAATCCTCATTAATTGGTAAATTAAAAACATCCTCCATTGTAAACAAATTTGGTTGTGTTTTGATCTTCTCCAGGTTGGCAGTGCATTTCCTCATGTGTGGAATTGGAATCCTATTGACAATTGAAAAAAATAATGAACAAATAAAAAAGATATTAGTTATTAGAAACACATTTAAAAAATCAATATTTTTAAACAGGATCCACAATTTTCTTTATTTTATGTACATTTAAATTTGTTATAACATAGAACTAGAGTTTTTCGTGTCACCTCATCTTAGATATTAGTTATTAGAAACACATTTAAAAAATCAATATTTTTAAACAGGATCCACAATTTTCTTTATTTTATGTACATTTAAATTTGTTATAACATAGAACTAGAGTTTTTCGTGTCACCTCATCTTTCAATACTAAAATTTAGTATAATTATAATAATAATTATCATTTATGTTTTATAATTATTGAAGCAAAGTATAAGGACTTAAGTAAAATTATTATTAAAATCCATTTTTAAAATTGTACCGTACATGATTAAGAAAATCGAACTACTTTATTATAATACAGCAAATATTTATTTAACTGTTTGAAAAACGCTTCTAATAATAATAGTAATAACCACTGTTTACGTTAGAGATTAACCTCTTCCGGTAAATCGAGTGGACAAAAAATGGCCGCCACCGGCTGCTTTTAATTTTTGGTCACATTTCGGGTCCAATCCTTTATTCGTTCTATAATCTTTATTGTTTTAAATGAGTGATTCACTTTTTAAAATATATGAACTATGTAATTAAGTAGTTTCCAAATGTTACCCCGAGTTTTAAAAAGTAACAAAACATAGCGAAATCACTTACCCAATGTCCACTTTCGATTTAATCGTCTCATCGTGGTCGGATTTCCCTTTTATTTATATCCTCGTAACCGTCATGCACCGCAGATTAAAATAAAATAAGCAGGTTAATCTATTTTAAGAAATGACGCAAAGCAACGCTAAACCCCGACAACTACCGAAAACGGTCAGCGCCAGCTGATCACAGCGATAGGCGGCGAGTAGCCCGCGTCTTCCAACTGCCAGCGAAGCGAGTATTGGAGTACCTATTATTAGACAGATAACATTAATTACCTTTTGATTGTATCCACAGGTATCAAATTTATAATTGGAGTTGTAGGATGGAAATTATAGATTTGTCAACTTTTTAGGTTCAAATTTAAAAGATGGTTTTTACGTCTACAGTGGATGTGCTTTATTGAAGACTTCACACACAAGTGAAATTATTTTTCTTTTGTGGTTGGAAGGTTTTATTTAAGAATCTAGCAAGACATCTGTGAATTATTGCTTAATTTTATTTTTCTTGATTTGCAGAACAACAGCTGCAGCACAAGTACGCAGTGCCATTAGACGTCTTAGAGAGATGAAAGAAATTTAAAGAATAAAGTTAATTTTTTAAGACCCATATTCTTTATTTGTTGTTTACTCTTACATGGTTAATGATTTATCTGGTTTTTGTAATACTTGTATTTGTATGTTCAAGTTATGTAAACGTAACATTTGTGAAATTGCTAGTGACATATTGAATGAATATGATCAGCTTTTGTGCAATGAATTCACCTGGCATTTTAGCTCAGGTAACGAAAATGATTTTACTGCCTCTATACAATGTGACCCGATCTGACAAAAAGATAGATCAGTTGTTTGAGCTGTTCGGAGGAGCTAAAACTACAAGCATCTTTTATATTTTAAAATCATTTTTAATGACCATGTGTGGAAATGCCTACATATAGTGTAGTACACCATTCTGTTATACTGATCCTAATGGCAGGAAGTCCTATTTTGAGAACGGGTACCGAAAATAAATTTTTATAAATCAATTCAATTAAAATTAGGTTTAACTTTAAGAGACAGTTGGCAGTCCTGTACCTTAAACTTAAACACAATAATGTTCTAATAAACCAAGGGTCTCAAATCATCGGGGGGGGGGGGCTGCAGGAGGTATAGTCTGAGTGAGACGGGACCGCAAGTATTCCACACATTAACGTACAACTGTTGCAATCTGCTGAGCCTTTAATAATAAATAAAAACATTAAGGGTTCTCAAGAACTAGGCTTCATTTTCTTCCTCCTACTCCTTGTTGCCAGAGATCTGGCAGCGCTTCTTACACAGCAGAGCAACATCTGGCTTGAGTGAGGAAGCAACTGATACCCTCAGTATAGCTTGAAGATGTTTATGGTATGTTCGGTCCTGAACTATGACTTGTTAAAGTTCATAGTATAGTGGAAAAGAGCTTTTCACACAGATAGGAGTTCCCAAAAAAGGCACATGATCCGCTTGAACAACCTGGAAATCTCGTGAAGGTGGAGGGCAATGTTCTCATAAATTATCCATGCTTGTCTGTTTTTCCAATCACCTCCCTGAACTTAGAATTGCACTGAAGATCAATTAGCTCCATTTGAAGTGCAAGTAGGGGGTGTGTGTGGATCTTCCAAATAGGAGAAATTGTCAGCAAAAAGTTGAGAAGTGGCTCTTACTGTTTTGAAGTTTAAAAACGTGATCAAATTCTTCCTGTAGCTTTTCAGTGGCATCATTATACTTACCACTAAAGGGTGTGCCCGAGTCCATGAGTAATTTGCCTGTTGGGAAAGGGCAGAGGTTTCTCTAAGAATCATAACACAAGTTTTGTGCAGAATGCCCTGACATTGTCATCACTGACAAGCTACCGCTACCCCTGGTCTTGTAATTGTAACTCTAGTTGAGTACATTCAGTTCCTGTTAAAGTTAATATCTATCAACAAGAAAAGCCAAATCCATGAGCCATTTGGGATCCCTTAGTACAGTGGTTCTTAACCTTTTTTGGAGGTACAGGGGGTACCGAAACCAACCAGTTTAATATGCGCATTCACTTTACATTACTTTAACCAAACCCTTCTTAATAGGGAAAAATAAAATAAGTTTTTTTTTCCTGATTCTTTTGGGACCTCCACCAAACCCCTGAGACTGAGTCACTGAACCCCTGGAGTTCGATCAAACCCAGGTTAAGAACCACTGCCTTAGTAATATAGTACCGGTAAGTTAATAGTAATTGTACAGGAACAACCACCCCATCCTTCTCCATGAAGGCTTTCAGTTTCAGAGTGTTCAAACAGGCAGAGGCAGGCAATATTTATGAATTATTGATGAGAATGAGATGCAAAAGAAGAAGCTATTGTAAATTACAAAACAATGTAATTGAAGGGAGAATCAATTTTTATTTTTTTTTTTTGAAGAAAAGGCCTTTTAACTTTTTGACTAATCCTCCTATGAAAGTGACCAAGCAGACTGGTTGGGAATTTCCCTCTTGTAAACACTAGCAGCAATTTTAATTATTTTTTTTTAATAGGGATTCTTTAATAATGTGTCACTGACACTGTCAGATTGCTACAATTTACACAATTATGGTTGTGCATTACCCACTAGCTGACTTTTTAAACTTTTCTCAAAACCGCACTTTGGCCATGCTTGTCTCATAAAATGCTTTAAAATAAAAACTTTGAGCCCGATTTATTCATTACAGTTTTTACCATTGTAATTATAATCAACGTCCAAATCTAAACAAACATAATAAAAATCAGAATTAGACTAGTCTGTGAGAGTCGACTGACTGAAACCGTTGTAAAAGTAAAAGGGTCACATTAATTATAGATATGAGAATGGGGAAAACGCATGGGCCACATTGACAATAAACTTTGCTGACATTGTCATGTAGAAGGCCGCAAAATATCGTCTTGCAGGCCGCAAATGGCCCGTGAGTTTGAGACCCCTGTTCTAAGCCATTCAAGAATTGCCGTTTCGGTTTATTAAATTTGGTTACTATTTCTGCCCAACACGCCATCTGTAAATAACTGACCTCAAGGGAGATAAAACGCAACTTATTTGCATTTTAAAATGACTTTATTTACTAGTACAGTTTTGTGTTAAGGTTAAAGTACTTACAGTTATGTCATACAATATTATTGGAATTAGTACATGGAATCAAATGCTGTTTCTTACATCGGTATTCATGTTGAGAATTCAATGACGTACTGTAGTACCTGTACCGTATCCCAAGATAGTTGGACTGTCTGGAAGTCATGCTTCCTGTACTGGTTGAAATTGTGAATGTGAATAGTACCGGTAGTAGTCGTCAGTGTGCCACATCTCTTCAAGTTTCAAGGTGGTGGTCACTAAGCCTCTGCTTTAGAAAAGCAGCATATTGCACCCGTTACCCAACTTTTAGAACATCCTGTATGATTGCTCCTTATGCTGTTTTCTCCTCTCTTTGTATTAAATTGAAAGTTTTCTTTATCATTCCTGACAAACTTAATTAAGTTGTTCTGATTTATGGATGTTTATTAATAACATATCTCACAATATATGTTTTACAATTAGAAATAGAGCACTGGTATTTTTAGGACTCATTTATTAAACCACTCGACCACCCAGCGCCCATTTAACAACAATAACATCCTTTTCATACACTTAACTTCCTCTTTTCATCAGATTTAATTTATATCTGTTTCTCTCCCTTGTGAAGTAATGAAAATGGTATGATTTTCCGACTGTTCTCATTACTATATCAGTACCGTACTTGATCTCGAATAAGTAGAAATGCTGAAAAGTTATTTATCTTCTTCTATTGATTTTGATTAAGAACTCCAATGAGAAAATGGAAATTTGTATGAAACCCAAGTCAGGAAAAATATCTCCACCAACTCTGATAAATTAAAAGAGGCTAACCAGAGGTGAAATATAGGAACAAGGTGCCAGTATGCAGAACTTAACCAGAAGTGCCAGAACTAAAACTAAAATAGCATACCGGTACTGAAGTTCTGTACTAAATAGTAAAACTATGGTGCTATGGACATTGCTCTGTGGTTCCATTTAAGTTAGCCTCTGAAATAAGTAACCCAATTATTTTACACAAATTTTAATATCGTAGCTTAAACCATCTAAATTTCAGTTCTGACATATTCTCCTTGACTGTACACAGCTAGACATGCACATAATAGTTGTAACACAGGACTCAGCAACACAGTTGCAATTGGTACACTGTAATACTGAAGATAGTATATAAGATCTCTAACTGGTATAACTCCAAAGACGCTGACAAGTCCATGAGATGTATTGTCTAAAAAACGTGATCGCCAATAAAGTAGTACTGCTTGAAAAATGTCCAGGTTCATAGAGGTGGTGGCAAGGGAAGCCTGAAAACAAATCAAAAAGCAATTTCAAAGCAAAATTATTTCAAGAAATTAAATTTTAATTAGCTCAGGAGATCTATAAAATTAATGCTAAAAAAATATTTAAAGTAAAGAAAAGAAAGTCGTGTGACATTTAATTTGTGTGTAGGATGCTGTTTGAGGATCTATGATAATTTGCCAAAATTGAAATAGAAATTATTCAGATACAAAAGTGATCATTTAAAGACAAATGGATTTTTAAAGAAGTTCCACTTTACAAATCTATGTAAAGAAATATATGTTCTCGTGGAACATTGTTTTGGTTAGGACTAGGACCAAAAAATATAAAATTCTTCTCTTCAGTGTGTTCCCCCAGTGGTTTCCAAATCTAAATGATCAAGTTTATTATGTCACCAAGAGAGTTCATTGATGGCTGATTTTTATGCTAGAGAAATACTTTAGAGTTCTTGTGTTTAAATTGTTATAATAGTAAAATGTCTTGGTTAAAATATGTATTTACTTATGTACCGGTACTAAAAATGAATACCGGTATGTAAATGTAATAAAAACATTTCCATTTATTTGGATCAATAAAAGAATCTTATCTTATAAAATTATTTAAATTATACAATGGTGATATCATAAGATATCTTTTTTGATGAAACAGCAACAGCAAATAGTCCCTTCTCGGTTAATTTGGTAATGGTATAGCAAATTATAAAGTAAAATGAAAATAAATTAACATAATCTATTAAAACTGTTCCTCTGACAGTATTAAAAATTAATCCTCTTTTAAAAATGAAATGTATTTCATTACCGGTTCACATATTGATATTTTACTAAAAACGTTCCGAACTGATAATATCGGCTGATTGAATGAATAACCAACATGTCATTTTCAACCTATTGTTACTGTAATTTGGTTGGATGAAAAAATACTGATAGAATGAATAAAGTGACATAAAAAATATAAGCAATTGCATTGCATCAACACCAATATTTAAATATTAGGGTATTTCAAGATAATTGACTAGTCTAGTCTAGTAATTTAATATAATATAAAATAACAAATTTGTTTCCCTGAATTAAATATTTTAAATTAATTTCAGACTAGAAATTTATCAAATATTTTAATTACTGCTCATGATATTATATACACATTACTCAAACCTTGTTAAATACTTTGAGTAAGTTAATTAAAAATGGTCTAAAAAATTGATCAGTCATGTTACCCAGTATTATTTTAAAATATTTTTTGCACAAATTATTTAAGAAATTTTAAATTATTTTCTACTTTTTAGTGCTTTAAACTTTAGTGTTTTTAAAAAAAATTTTCTACGCTTTAGTACCGTACTAAAATTTTATTAGTAAATTATCGAAAGAAGTACGGTATCAATTACTTTTTTTAAAAAATCCTTAAAATCCCACAGCTTTCAAACAACCCACACCCAGATGCGATGTTAACACAACTAAGATGCCACCTTTCTGGTGACCATAAGACAGATGATGAAACAAGCTTGTTCAATCAGTCATGTGTGTAAAAAAAACAATTACGCTGGACAAGATGAAAATGTGAGTAGAAAGAAAGTCTTAAAAACACTCAATTCAGCCATTCATACCACCCATAAATCTGGCACTATATGAATTTATATTATATTGAATATTGCATACACTTTGCTTACATAATCAGATGATTGATTGATTGATTGATTGAATACTTATATAGCGTTAAGTATCCATGCTATTTTAGCGTGCTCACTGCGCTCTCAGTGATGGCATCCGGGGCGTCACAGGGGTTGTCGGAATGATTCATTGTTTCGATGTTTTGCCGCCTGTAGGGGATGCCATCTCCAGGTTTCAATTTAGAGTTTCCTTCTCTTAGATGAGTTGCCGACCAAGGTTAATGGGGTGCTGGTGAGGTTTTTTTGCTTGACTGGGCTTCGGCTGGAATTGAACTTCTGACAACCAACTTGAGATTTGCTCAGTTTAGACCACTCGACCACTAGGCCCACCGTTGCCTGTCAAGCGCTTGTGAACCGGAAACTCTGGCTCTGGCTGGAATTGAACTCCAGACCACCAACTTGAGATTTGCTCAGTTTAGACCCTGGGTGCTGGTGAGGTTTTTTTTGCTTGACAGGGCTTTGGCTGGAATTGAACTCCCGACCACCAACTTGAGATTTGCTCAGTTTAGACCACTCGACCCACCGCTGCCTGTCAGGCGCTTGTGAACTGGAAACTCTGGCTCTGGCTGGAATTGAACTCCCGACCACCAACTTGAGATTTGCTTTGTTGATTTGTTTAGACCACTCGGCCACCCAGCACAACCAGATGGAAAATAATACATGTAAATTGTGACTAAGTTAAATATTTATTTAGTCTAAATGATTTATTGTCATTTCAACTCAAGAGAAAATTCTAAGAACTAGATTTGCTTACCAAAGAGGAGGAATATTGCTGTATACAAGAAATCATTTGTTTTTCAAGTTGATAAGCTAGGAACAGTCCATATGCCATCATGCATGTCCAGCTGCCTATAACAACCAGCAGACATGTCCTGTCCATCAAGGGAAAATTAATATTTGAAATCTTTAAATTTTAATTAAAATGTATCTATGAAGGGAGTTTCTAAAACAGCTAGGGATGTGGGCGTCAAAGGTCCCTTATGAATAAAAATGAGTTTTCTTCAACTTCTACATTATTAGGATAGTAAATTATATGACCGAGAATTCAGACTTTTTTCTCCAGAAGTTACTACACAACAAAGTTATCCACATCAGAATTTGAAAGCTACGGCAGAAGTGTGGGCAGTGTCCCTGTTTACAACCTTTTTTATAGCACATAAGTCATAAATAATAATACAAAGAAAAAGTACATTTCTACCTGCGACAACTTAAAAACAAAATCACAAAATTAAAGAGTTTTTTTCAAAACTGGGGACAGGAAGGTATTGTGTAATTATTGTGACCATCAGATTCAAATGTTTAAGATTGAGGGTGCCATGAAGTTTTTATGTGAAGCATTTTCACCCCAGAACAATCTGAATATATTTTAGAGATATTTAAAAATTACTCCTTGGACCAAAAGAAAGGTGCTGATAACTTGTATCAATAGAATAGATATAACTATTACACTTTTTTGATTTTTGAAAATACTGGTACATGTCTGTTGCCTCAACAAATATAAAAAAAAAATTGTTTGGTGGAACTATCCACATTTACAAATGATCTATAAGTTTATGATGTAATATTGAAAGCAAGTCATCCTAATATAACATAAGAAAAGTGTTTTATTACCATTTCTTTATCCTAGATGGAGTCAGCTTGTTTTTTGCTAGCATGTTGTCCATCAAATAGTACAATAGTATGAAAATTCCAAGACAGTAAGTTAGGATATAAATTTGAAAACTTGCAGACATTGATGAGATATCAAAGTGCTCTTGTATATTGCTCTGTCAAATAACAAAAAAATCAGTTAAACATCACATAATGAGGGCAGTTTTTATTCTTTTGATCATTTCCCAGTATAAGTATAATCTTTGCCTATAAATAATTAAAATTAAATTGATCTTATTGTCCTGTGTTTCGATTCAAGCTTCCAAATACCTTAACATTTCCTTCAAACAGCTTGAACACATTCCTTCATATGATTTAATACAATTAAAACAAGCACACTAGTTGGGAATCTTCCATTTCGGTCAGTGGTTCCTAATTTTTAAACTCACTGCTCAATTCTCTTCTTATACTTATTAAATATGCAATACCATCTGTTAGATGTTAATAATTCAGATGTTAACCTAAAAATAAATTTGGATTCCTCAACCACCTAGGCAACATTTTGCAAAAAAATATTTGTGTACCACCTATCCATATAATTAAAAAATTTTAATAATCATTTTTATTTGTTTAAATTATTTTCAATAAAAATACTGATGAACTTAGACATAAAACTAAAAATAAATATGGCAATGTAAAGATTTCAAATAAAAAATTACATTAATATGTAGGAATTCATTGTGCCATTGAGTAACCTCAGATTTGAAAAGCTCTCCATCAACTGTCTCTTTGATTAAACTCTTCTCTATGCAAAACTGTTTTACTTGGATTTTAAAGTTGTGCAGACTCCAAAAGGTCTCCCCTATATTTAATTAAGATAATAGGTTTTATAATACATTAATATAAAAATGAAGCACCATCAAATGAATTTTTTAAGTTAAAAAAACAAACATTGATAAATCTTAATATGTTTTTATATATCAGAGGTTAAATTAAATAAATAATTCATAATACTATTTCTTTTTTTTTTTTTTACATTTAAACAAAAAAAAACAAAAAAAAAAAAAAAAAAAAAAAAAAAAAAACAACCTATATCTTACCATGCAATTTATTTAACAGCACTATAGTCAGGCAACATAACATAACAGCTTGGACAAGCAGCCAGAGAACCTCTGATTTTGTTAATCTCATTTGGCGCATTTCTGGCCACAAAGAAATACCCCCTCCAGATTTCAAGTGACTTCCCTTTTGACGAATCTCATCATGTTGTTCAATCAAATTTCTTTGTTTCTCCTTCATTATGCCTTGATTAAATATGGACATATAATATTAAATTATATAAATAACTCAATCTCTTTCACATATCAGTAATATACTTTTATTGATGGTCATAAATGTGCAATTTTTAAATGAACATATCTTTAATTTAAAGTGTTTTTAAACAGTTTTGCAATGCATTAATTCTGTATATCGTTTTACACATTTTTGAACATAATTATGTGGAATATACTAACCTGGAGTCATACGGAGCCTAAGTAGTCCTGGGCTTGTTTTATTATCTAAACTATCATAAATATGGTCGGTGCCATTCCTGGTCTGTTCCTGTTTGTGATTTTTGGAATCTCCTAACACAGAAGTCTCAAAAGAATAGGTCTGGGTAGCATTTACATTGTTGTTTTGACTTGGTTGCAAGTCCTTTTTATTTTTTACAACCTCTGGGAAAATTCTCATCATCCGCCTCGACAGTGGTGTTTTATGCTCCATCATTATCTCATCAGTATTTACTTGTGACATTTGATCTTGATTCTAGATCATGTAAAACAGGTATCCTTTCTACAACTCACTGTCTCTTTTCTACAACTACCTGTAACAATAATTAAGGGAAAATTAATTTAAGAAACAATGAATCAGTAATTTGGTGTCAATACTCTATTCTAAAATATCAACAGGTGACAGGCTAACATTGTTTTAGCAAGAAGAGGTATAATTATTTGAATAAAAATATTCCAAAAAAATTGTCTTTACCATAAGGTAAGCTGAACATTTTTTGTCCCATTGTTTTAAGGAGAAATAGCGTTGAAAAAAGAATGATTTAAAAGTTATTATAGCACATTTATTGCAACTGCATTGCAACAATTTCCATGAATTGAAAATAGCATATCATAATAGGGAGTGGCCTAACATGAATTTGCTTGCAGGCCTAAATTATTTATTAATAACAGAATTAATTAACATATTTTCAAACCGTTTTTAAGATTAATATTTTTACTTCTTTTTCTTTCAAACTCCAATCATGGCCAGCAACAAAAATTCTCCATTGAGTCAAATCCTTTGCACCCTAGTTTCATACTTATCATACATGTCTTTTAATATCAAAACTCTTTGCAACCCAAATCAGACCATGACTCTTCTTTACGTTAGTGTTAGGCTTCAACTTCAAGTATTTCTCCTCTGTAAGTTAAGCCTTAGGCTTAGGCCTACTTGTTACAATGGGAGCATTGACTGAAGGCTTGATAATGTTATATATGTGGTTTCTTGTTAATTATGCCCTATCCACAAGGTTGGATTAAGGCATTTTTAAGGACTTTGTCCAGAGACCCAGACAGTGGCATAGGATTGGATCATTGGGATGCTGAGGGGGCGGGCCACCCCAGGCAGCAATAACCCTAGCTACAACATTGGACCCATGAGTCATGCCCATAGTTCCACAGGTTACGTCCAAAGATATAACATTATTATTAATATTAATAGATAACTTCTTTAGTCTTTATTGATCAAAACTGCTTTTGAAAAGTAGGCCTGCTGTAGACGAAGTTTTGAAGTGCCGTATTCAGCCTGGAATCTGGATCCAGAGTAGATTTAATTAATAAACTAATAACTAAACAATGTCATTAATACTATTAATTATTAATAGGCGCGGCATGGGCATGGCATAGGCCCAAACTAATTCCTGTTAAGCCTAACCTAACTTTGACCTAACTAAAAGTTAACTAACTCTTACGCTTATCTCATTTATAATATTAGATGTAAATAATGATTGATTGTAATAATTGAATATGATCAATATTCACGTCATGCCTATTTACTATTTATTAGTATTATAAATTTAGTAGCCGTCAGTGTCAGTCCACACTGACAGCCTAACAAATATCAGTATATGTTAGTTAGTATGTTGACAATGTTAGTAAAATATTTAAATACATATAATATATATATATATATTATACTAATATTACTTATTTATAATTATAAAAAGCTGTAAAATGTGTTAGTTAAAGTAATTGACATAGAAGTCTCGCATCCTCTTGTAAAAGATTGTCGCCTACTGTACTAGGCACTATAATAAATCAGTTAAACTTACCGCGTTCGAACACTAAAATTGATCATTGTCAGACCTTGTTTACAGTGTTTATTTATATGCTATTGGCCACCATTGGGTATTAATATTAACTATGAATGTTGTAGACGAAAGTGAAGTGAGACGCTAAAAAATTTTCATTTGGACCAAAAGCTTCTTTTTAATAGCAAAAATCAGAAGTTTTTTTAAAAATAATTGTGTTGATTTTTTATTGATTAATTTATAAGTATTGGTTTTACTGAAAAGACATCTTCACATCTGTCGTTTAAAAGATTTGGCTTTCATACTTCAAAAAACTTGGCAATCAGGATAAAATAACTCTCAAACGTGTTGATACAGTTTCCGGTGTTTACACATGTAGTTCTTTAGTCTTTAGGTTCAACATTCGAAGTGAAAAAATATATACAATGCAGAGTGACGACGTAAGCAAATCAAATATAGATGATCAATCAACCTAGTGTTACTGCAATACTCAAGTATTTGTTAATAAATTAAATTGTTTAATAATGTAATTTGATTTATAAAATTTATTTTCAGGTCATATGGAGCATAATCAATGGATCTTTCTGTTCCTTCAAAGTGAAGTAAGTCGTTTTCAAGTCCACAGTTCAGTACACTACAGTGACTACAGTACAGTCACAATAAATCACTTATGTCGAGATGTGTAGTGTTAATCAGTTGACAAGTCAAATTCAAGCGTCAAGACAAGTTAAAGTTGAAAATTTGCCATGATAGGCCTATTTTTTAAAATTAAATTAAAAAGAATATTTTAAAGACTAAAGATTTTCATTGATCATGTCTTATCTGAAGTTATCTGTTATCGGTAAATTACGGGGACGAATGCCACCATCTTGATTGACACAACCAGTTAATTCTTTCACAAATGTATCCCTAAATCGATCCCTATGGCTAACCTGAACCCTAAATCAATCCCTATGCCGATGCCTAACCTGAACCCTAAATCAATCCCTCAACCTAACCTAAACCCTAATTCACTGCAACTATAATAAATCGAAGTGGATGCGTACACCACGGCGGTGTACCTAGCGAAATCGTGGGCTTTGGTCTGGGTACACTGCGGCAAAAATTTACAATTGGCCTGGTTTTAAGATATGCCTGTTAGAGAAGATCTTGTGTGGTCAAAGTCAAGTGGTAGAGTGGACGCTTGGCGATATTATATCTTGTGATCGATTCCCAGTAGGGGATCAAGTTTTTTTTCTTCCCATTTTAATTTAAAATATGTTATATTTAAATTATCATGTTCATTTGCAACAGTAGTTTCATGAGATGTTTTTAAATATTTTGTAGCAATTTAAACAATTTAAATATATGTTATATTCAGATTATTAAGTGTTTCAAAAAGTTTTGCCGGCCTTTGACTTTGAAAATACCGGTAATTTTAGTTAGGGGTGTGCCGGACCCCGGTCCGGAATCCTGTTCCGCCGGATTTTGCACTATCCGGTGAAATCCGGTTCCGCCGGATTTACATGTATCCGGAACAACCGGACCGGAACAACCGGATTCCGGAATCCGGAACAACCGGAATCCGGAATATACCGGATTTCGGAATTTGCCAGATTTTGTGACTCACCGGATCATAATCTGAAATAAAAGTAATTCTCTTTCCCGAATTCCACACGATCACGATACATTAATCGATTGTTTCGAGCGTTGAGCTTGTTTAATGTTTAATATTCCGTACATACCAGAGGCTAGAGTCAGCACCGCTAAT